TTATGCAGTACGAAGTTAAGTTTACTATATTGTTGAGATATAGACTACAACTCATTCCTATTACAAAGAAGAAATGTCACAGGACCCTTTTTAGATTGAAGTATTCAATCATGCAACCAATGCTAGTGGAAATGGGTACAACAACAACAAACCTTTATTCCACAAAGTGGGGTTGGCTACAAGAATCTTTTTTTTCCATTGCGTCCTATTGAGTGTTATATTTTCATTTAATTCCAATAAAGTAAGATCATTTTTTATACAACATGCCCATGTCTTTCTACGTCTACCTTTGCCTTTCTTAACATAAATCGAATCTAAAACATCTACTCTCCTAATCGGATCATCAAATGGTCGATGTTTAATATGACCAAACCATCTAAGACGACACTGTCTAATTTTGTCCTCCACTGGAGCTACACCAATCCTATCACTGATATCTTCATTTCACGTTTTATAAACTCTAAGTGTAAAGACACTCATCCAACTAAGCATTCTCATCTCGGCAACACTTAACTTAGTTTTATGCTCTCTTTTAAAGGCCAATATTCAGCATCATAGAGCATTGCAAGTCTTACCACCATCTTATAAAATTTTCCTCTCAGTCTAAGTACTTTTCTATCACACAATATTCTATCATACAATAGACTCGATCCATTCGTACACTTCAACCATTCAACTTCTACTAATAACATCCTCATCTATATCACCATCACTTTGAACAATAGATTCACAGACCCAAGATATCTAAAGCGTTAACACCATTTAATAATTTCATCACCCATAGTTACAGCTTTGTCACTAGAGCTACTATTACTAAAATTACATTCCTTGTATTCAGTTTTAGTTCTACTCAAATGAAGTTTTTTTAAATTCCAATGTAGACCCCCATAAATTGATTATGAGAAATGTTTGTAATACGTCTTAACCTATGTTCAGTTACCCTCTCCCATAATTTTAAAGTACAACACATCAACTTAATTCCTCTATAATTTGCACACTCTTGTGCATCCTCTTTATTCTTAAAAATATTATTTTGAAATTTAGATAACTCATTATGTTGTTTTAATAATTTTTCTTATTTTATTCTTTTAAATAAAATGACGACCAGAGGAGCTAATGCGTATAAAAGACGAGATCAGCAACCAGAAAGATAAGAGTTTTTATTTATTAGTTAAAGTGATTTATTTAGTAGCTCTTTCAATTAATATTTATATATTATATTGCTAATGATAAAATTAGAATAATAGAAAACTTAATTCCACCGTCTGATCTTCTGTTTTTTCCTTGGTTAATTTGAAACCCCAAGCCAAGTCATGATAGAAAATAAGTGATAGTGCCTAGTTTAGATGTCTTTTCTAGTTTTATTAATAAATTAAAATTTTATTTTATTCTTATTAGAACTCTCATGATCCATCCTATTAATGGCATAGGAAAGAATCTTAAGGACTCTTTGGTGTGCCTCTTTATATGATTATTTTGGTTGTCCTCTTAGTATTGTCAAATTTTTGCTAGGTGCCTTGCTATAAAATTCTAGCATTTTTTAGTACATCAAGCATTTTTCCAACATCGGCACTATAATGAATCTCTATTGCTCACATTATTTGATTTTACATGCTTGTGCTCCTTTGAGGAAAAGACTTTTGAAAAAGGTTGTTGATGTAAAAAGCTTTGTTGTTGTGGTCGAACAATCTATGAAATTATCGACAATCATAACTTCCCATCTCTCTTTCTACGCTCAAATGATGGTAATGGCTTCATTGGAAAAAATAATTTCTCCTTGAATTTATACCCTTATAGCATCAAACTCAACTTTTAATAAAAATAATAAAAAATTATGTCATGTTCAACAAGATTTTTGAGGGATGCCTCATTGTTGCATTTCATTTGAATTTACTGATAATAATTCATCACTTCCCAAAACCTTATAGTAGATTGGATTACTATGGGATGGATCACCCTCCTTGGTCTGTAGCAATGATTACTTTTATCTTATAAATGTAGGTTGTGACACTAGCTTAAAAATACATTTGAATTGCATCTTAAATTTCCATTTGTTGAATGAATGAACAAGAAACATCACTTATTTGAGGAACCACGGAGCTTAATAATGAGGGCAACACCATAGCGCCACATTCATCTCAAGTATTGAATGTGGAATCACCTTCTGGAGATCTGGTTCTAATTAAATGGCCAAAAATTTCTTATCCTCGAAGAAAGTGTGAAATAATTTTGAGCACTTGAGGTAATTATTTCCAGTCATATTAAATATTGAATGGATATTTTGCAATTCTCCCATTGGATTCATTTTGCTAGTTTCAGTTTTAATGGACTCAAGGAAAGGGAAGATGGGTATTTTTGTGACACATGAGAAAGAAAATATTGGTACATAAAGAAAGAAAGATAATAAAAAAAGATTACAATGATGATGACTAGAAATGAGAAGATTAGGTGGAACAGAAAAAAGACTTGCAGCAATGAAGGCATGCAATTTTTAGTCAAGGCAATAATGAAGTTATAACTCATAAAAATACTAAAAAAATTAAAGATTTGGTAACATGACAAGAATTAAATAGAATAGGTTAAGTCTTCCATTCCATTATATAATATTCATATAATCTTATGGTAATTTTTAATAGAAAACATACAAAATCAGATAATAAGTATTAAAATAGTCCAGGGAATTATGAGGTAGCAATAATAATCCCATTGAACATTGAGATGGTGTGAAGTGAAGAAGAAAGGTGGAAAACAGTTGGGCTTTATGGGACATTGATGGAGTTAGAATTGATGGGACATTGATCGAGTGAATAAAGAAGAATTAACATTTTTACAGTGGTAAAGTCTAGAGTAGGGTTTAGTTGTGCAGGTAGGCCGGTTAAAAGTAGAACGATGCAAATATATATGTATTTATGTGTGCATGTGTGCGCGTGCGCGTGTGCATGTGCAATATTCCATATAACTTAGCTTTAAATGCTCGCATGTGTGTGCGTGCGCGTGTGCAATATTCCATATAACTTAGCTTTAAATGCTCATATTTTTCCTATTTTGTTAATTGCTTGTTTTTGAATGTTAGCGCAACAATCCTTCTACTAATATCTCATATACAATTGTGTTATAGTAAAATTAATCAGTAATATTCAAATAAGTTTCTCTCACAATCTAGCATTATCCTTAACATTAATATATTGTGTTTATGTTAATATTCTAATAATTATATCTTGATTCATCACAGCAATCAAGAGGAAAGTAGTAATGAAACATCTAGCAGCAAACAAAAGAACTCTCCAAAAGAAAATCGATTGGAAAAAAATCAGGGATCTTACGCAGTTGATAGTAAGGGTATAAATAAGCATAAGATGAATAAGCCAAAATTTTATTCAAATAGACTGAAAATCAACTATTCTGAAAAAGTTTCAAATTCAACTCATTGATTACATAATTAAAATACTAACAATCATTCAAAAAGATATATGCCTCAAAATATCTAAAATTGGAGAAAAAGTTTCTTGTTATTTATTTATTTTTTTTTTTTTTTTGAAAATATATGCTCCAAGAGTTCTTTTGGGTCCAAAGTACCCATTCTTTTAACTTTGACCGCAGAATAATTTTTTAAAATACACCGCAAATAACATTGGTTCGAGCAAGGCTAAAATATGTTCAAATAAAATTCGTGCAATCATTCAAATACCTCTTAAACAGAGTTTGATTCAAATCATATTTGAACAGGGTTGGCGCAAGTTTCAAACATATTTAAACATGATTTTAGTTGTTTGAACAAAATTTGAACCTTTTATAACAGAATTATAGTTGTTAAAATATTGTTTTACCACGATTATAACTTCTTGAATATTATCTAAACAATGCTTAAATAAAATTTGCCTATGCAAGCTCCAATAAAGTGCATTTGAACAACTGCAGAACAACTAACAATAATGTTGATATAATAGAATGCAATTGCAATATTTATAACACAATACATTATTATACGGTGTATATAACATAATGCAACAATAATAGTTATAAAAATAGATTATTATATGTTAGATATAAACAACCATAAAACAACTTATATGAACCTTATTCCATCATGGTCGAATCTTGTTAAATCATGTTTGAACCTTATTTGAACCTTGTTTTATGTATATTCCAATCATGTTTGAACCCTGATAAAACTTGTTTAAACCATAAAAGAAACATGTTCGAACCATGGCAAACTGTATTTGGACCTTACTAAAATTTTGTTTGAACCTTCTTAAAATCTTATTAAAAAAATATTAAACCTTGATTGTGAACAATGTTAGAATAATTTTTTACTATAGTTTGAACCTTCATCAAATATTATTTGAACCTTACTAAAAATTAAAAATAAAATTCAAAATAATTTTGAATAAGGTTTGATCAAATTTTAAAGATGTTCGAATATGTTTATAGCAAGTAATGAGATCTCTAAAGTTATTAAGAGTGTAGGGTTTAAATTGAAAACAATATTTTAAAACATAGATGAACGATATATGACATCATGAACTTTTAATAACTAGCAAGAGACTAATGTGGAAACTTTGCCTTTGAACTTTCATATAAACCAATCACACAAAAGATGATTGCCAGAGATAAAAGAAGATGTTGGAAAGAAGAATGATCAAGCAATTTCATGTTTGAAAGTTTGCACGACTTCTTGCGTGGTTTTACTCTAGTGCAGAGGTATTTTTATCCTAAATGAATTTCTATGCATATTTCTCCGAGAAACCAAACAAGTATATAAGTCAAATTTTCTTATCCGGCTGATGTACTAGTTTTTTTTTTTTTATTAATGATTTTGATTGCAAGATCAATATTTTTTATTTAATAAGAGAATGACTATATGAATAAAAATTACAAGATCCATGTATGTATGAGCGTACGTATGTATTATCTATGCATGTATGTATGCATAGTGTATCGAAAAGTAAGATATTCACATATGGTCAACTTCTAGTAACTAGATGGCATTACTTTCATACCTGGCCATATTTGTTCCACCCCCAGCAAAAAACACTGCTATCCTCTGTAAAATAATAAGCAATGCCAATGATAGAGACATACAAAGATGAAACAGTCAAATGATTCACTTGACAGCTATCATCAAGCTTTTCAAAGAGCACAATCTTCTCTTATAAAAATGTCGAATAAGTACCTGTAACTATGGCACTGTGCCGAGCACCACAGGAAACTATTTTAGCATTCTTAATCTCTAATGATGGGGCATCCAATAGCTTGGGAAGTGTCTGTGAAATAAAATAACAAAAAGACATATAAAAAGTTCAATTCATAGCATTCCAAGGTGGTATATTGCTGGCGAAGGCTTGCTAATTAAAATCAAAAGTCAAACCTCTGCTTGATCTAGACCAGTTCCTAGCTGCCCAAACTGATTTCCACCGAATGCATAGACACCACCATCAGCTGAAATGCAGAGTGTGTGCCATAAACCAGAGGCAATTCCAAGCATTCTGATGCCCAAAAGAGAAGATACACATTTTGGACTGAATTCATCATCTGTGGACCCATGTCCGCACTAGATATCGAGCACATATGTAAAATTTACAAAAAAGCAAATTGAATGATTAGTCTTTCCATATGACCTTGAGATTTAAAGGAAAATTAGGAAGAGATAAAAGCCAATATATCCATGATACAAGGAACCTCGTCTTCAACAATATACTTGCTCTCTCCATCTTTTCTACTATACCTACATTTAATCCTGGAAAGCAGTTAATATTGTGGCGGAGCAGGACACAACAAAAAAAGGAAGTAATCAATGATTTAAGGTTTGTACGTCACAATCGTTTTGCTCTGTCTATATACTCCGTGAAAATCGAGAAGTAATATTCAAGATGACAAAATAGCTAAAGGTTCACAATATGCTTTGCAGTCATAAGCAGAAATCAATTCAAATTTGATCAGCAGTAAATTGTCAAAAGCAAAAGAAGTTGAGCAGTTGAGCGCAAAGCAGCTGTGCTATCCGACATTTACTCGCCTGAAGGAAGATGATGAAAATAACCGTCAGTAAGTTATCTCATGCTACAAAATCAAATTTATATGTTTTGTGCATCCTACAATGCTGTGTCCACAGCTTTAAACTTACCAAGTTTTAAATGAAGTTTTACATATTAACTATCCGTGGTTGAATTTAATACAGAACGCTACTGATCTTAATAATGGTTATACTTAACAAGAGCGACAACGATACAAAAAATCCTCTAATTATCAAGTACTGGGCAGGACAGTTTAGAATGGTGTCCAAGTCATCCGTTTTGTCGATTCAGATTTTAAGAAAACTGAAAAAATTTGACGAGTAAATAAGTAAAATATCTAATCAGGATCAGATCTTAAACATCCTAGTAGCTTTTCTAACTAACCTAAGAGCATCTATATATATATAGAACCACTTGTGGTTATGGTGTCGGTAGGGTGTCATGTTTGGGTCCTCCAACACATTGTATCTGTATCTTTATTTCTAGTTAATATATTAACCTTTCTAGGCTTTCAAATATATATAATGAGAAAGCCCAATGGCTAATATATGAAAAAGATCCGGATAGATTGTATGAGAGGGCCCAAGCATGATACCCTACCCACACGGTAAACACCAAAGGCAAAATATTCTAGAAAAAAAAAAATACGAAAAAATACATGAGAAACCAAAAAACCAAAAGTGCAAAAACACGTAGTATCAGGCAGCTAGAGAGCGACCCAATTTTTCATTGTCTCTGCCTCTAGTTTTAGGACCTACTAACAAATTGGTAAGATTTGTGTCATTGCCAGTAGTAACCAATATATCGTCCAAAATGTTCCTGAGCTCGAGTCAGTCTCCATTCTTCTTCTTCTTCCTAGAATAGACATGTCATTCCTCATCCGAAGATTGACTCATCTGATCAGTGGATTGGTCTAAAATGTGTCGGACATGTATAGGTTGTTGAACATTGAAAGTTGTTGTATAGGTTGTTGAACATTGAAAGCATCTACTTGTTGTACCAGTTGATCTTTAATTGGATCAAAGGAACACTCTCGTGTGTCTTGGCATGTAAGGAAGCTAGACACGTCTGTATCAGTACTAGTAGTATGGGGAGATGTTTCATGAGACTCCAGAGTACCATGCTCCAATCTAGGAGCTGGAATAGAGTGTTCAAAAGCAGGAGCATTCAGGGGTAGAACGACTGTAGTATGATATTCTTCATCTGAGATAGCAAAGGTTTGAATAGAAGGGATATCAGAAAATTTCCCATTAGGAATAGTGATACACCAAAAATATATGCATTTTTAGACTCATATTTCATACTCATTTTTGGTGATATTACACTTTAATAGATAGTATTTTTTTAATGTTTATTGCAGGTTATTAATTTTTAGGACTTGGAGCAAAAAGAAAGCAAAAAGAATGAAATTTAGAGTCAAATTGGAGATTTTGAAAAATTGTTTAGCGTTGACAGCGCCAGACTGGGCGCCGACGAGGCCGTTTGACAGAAAAGACGGATTTAATTAGGGCGCCAGTGCGGTGCAAACCCTGTTTCTAAAAGATTCGACGAATTTGGACGCTTTTTGAAGAGTTTTTGGATGCACCTATTGGAGAACCAACCTTAGGCACTATTTAGAGCCGAAATTGATCAGAAAAGACGCCCTTTCGCACCTCTTTGCGCTCCTCCGCTCGCTCTTAGTTTTTCTTTGCCCCTTTTCGTGTTACTTTACATCACTCAACGTCATTTCACACCATTAGTCGTTTATTTTCTTTATAATTTTGAGTTTTTTTTATGAGTTTAAGTGTGAATTACTCTCTAAGAAGTGTTGGAGAGGGAGATAAGTGAGATTTTTTCTTCCTACATTTCCTAAGAGATGCTACAAAAGATTTGCTTTGAGAAATAGTTTCAGATAAGTGTTATTTATTTATTATTATTGTATGAACTTCCTTTTATATATAAAATTTGTGTTTTGTTGTATCTTTCTCATGAAGTCTGAGTAGTTTCTTTTATCTTTCTCACTACTTTCGATCTGGTCAATTGAATTGTTAAAATATGTTGTGAAACATATGATCCGAGAAATAAAGTATGAGTTCTACAACAGAGTGAGAATCACATTTAAGTCAATGAAAGAGTATTTCGTTCATGGAATTAAGTGCAAATAAATTGAAAAATATACTTTGTTGGGTGTAGAATTGAAGATTTTTTAGGTGACAGACTATAATCCTCAATTCGATCTTAGTGTTTAAAAACTAAAGCGAGAGTTAGCCTTCAGAAGAAGGGAAGTGGGAGCTCTGGAGTGGGAGTCATTATCCTCCTAGCAATACAAATTTAAACCATTTATCTCATCTCATTTCACCAAAAACTCATTGTAGTGGGAAAGATGTTTTCTCATATTAGAAAACTTCACCACATAAACATAGTTTAGTAGTTACTATTTTAAACTCTGCATTTAAATTCTGCTAATAATTAATAATTTAGTTTTGATAGTATCTCAAACATTCAAAATTAGTGACAGTAATTTCAATTTATTTTTGTGAATTTCCTAATTAATTTATCATCTTAAAATTTAAACCTTCCTCGTAGGATCGCTATTTGAGACTTAAATAGAAAGTCTTATATTACTCGATAACAATACGTATACTTGCGTAGAATCTCAATATTTAGTGTTTAACGTTATTATTCATAAAATACAACATCAAATTCTTGGCACCGTTGTAAATCGGAGTCAACTTTATAAATTTTACATAACTATATTCAACTGGGATCAAACAGCATCAGTCAGATGAGCAAAGATATATGCGGTGTTGGAAATAGGGTTGGGTTACACCTCCTCAGCAGGGATGGTAGGTGGCAAGACGTCCACCCCCAATTCAGTATGAATAGATTTTTGAACAGGTTGCTGATCTTTAGCAATATCCAACCTTAAATGAGGATGCAAGCGATAGCAAATAGTAGAAGTGTAGCCAAACATACTATAATGAGAGCAATAAGGAGGGTGTGGTTCTATTTCAACCTTTTGTCAATACTAGTTGTGAGTGGATCCAATCCATACCTCATCCAAAGCTGGTTGGGTGATATTTCTCTCAACTAACACACAAGCCACAGAAGATCTGATAACAGCAAGCGTAGGATTATCAACCTTGAGAAACTTACCGTAAGCAGTTGCTAAGTAGTAGAGAATTTCAAAGTTGAACTGATGTGGTTTTAACCCCAGAAACTTTATCGAAACAAGAATGATAGGAGACTCCGCTTTTGGATCAAAGCCGACAGTCCACTTCAGGACAGGATTTTCATAAAACAGTTGAAAACAGTTGTCAATCTTGATTACCTTTCGAGAAAAAATACGAGTGTAATCCACATCGTAAGATAACTAAATAAGCATATATCGGTCGTCAAGTAATCCAATATTCCATCTACCCAATAGTTTCGTAGCATCAAAATCTTTTCGAATGATCTCAAGTTTAGCAATAGTTTCGTAGCATCAAAATCTTTCCGAATGATCTCAAGTTTAGGGTGACCATAAAAAAATTTCCCCACTAGATTAAAACGCTAAGAAGACACAAGAGTACTGGTTTCAACCTCATAGAGAAAAAATTTAGGTTTTCTATTTTTCTCTAAGTTTTTTAATAAAAGTGTGATCACCATCACCTTCAAGAGCCTCGTAGAAGAATTGTGGAACAATGCATGACTTACTGATACCAAAACCAAGCTCTGAACCTGAAATAGGGGCACGAGTAGGATGGTCATCGGCAAGTGCAATGGCATAAGAACGGAGCGTCGAGACCATCTCCACCAGGCAAGATCGGCCTGAGTTTGGAGTAAGGAAGACGAAACAAGTGACACACCCGAAGAAGGAAGGACGACGTGCGAGAAAAAGCCACACCCGCCTCGTAACAGTGACGTGCCGAAGGAGGAAGGCCGACGTGCGAGAAGCCGACGTGCGAGAAGCAGCCGCATCCGCCTCATAACAGTGACGACAGCCTTTCGGCGACGGTAAAAGGAGGAAGACGGTGAAGTCGAAGCCAAAGGAATCAAAAAAATCCTTCGTCGTTGGGCTCGACGAAAAAAGTGACGCATGAAACCAAGGAAACAAGTAGGGAATCGCCGTCAGGCAAATCCCTAGCAGAGCTGCCCGCCGACGCCATTATATTATGCTATCGTTTGCATCCTCATCTAAGGTCGTATGTAGTATGTTTAAAACGCCTTGGAGGCTTACAATGTTTACAACATGATTGGTTATTTAAAGTAGCGTTCAATCATTATCTAGTTAATATTTATACCACAATGGGCGGTTCAAGATAAATTTTTGCTGCCTACAACAAAAAAATGGCACAATTATTAATCCATTAAGTAAAGCATGTTGTCATTGTTGAAGAGTAATACAGCTTTAGAAATATCATTATAAGATAAAAGCAATGGGCATCAAGGAAGCAAACTCAAAGATTCAAATGATAGAATGATTGCTGGAGGGACGAGAAGACTATTTGGGTATCTATGACATTGATTCAAGAGAGTGCAATGACTAGAGAGTATATAATCAAATGTACAGGCTCGGCTG